GCAGAAAAAGTACAAGAGGCGCTATTTAGCACGTTTTAAAGACCAAATCCTTTTAGCACGCTGTTGATAGATCAGTTTGTACATTTTTTAGCGTGCGCAGTGAAATAGCTCACGTTTTTATACACACAAACCTTTGATAGATCCAGCCCTTAGAGTCCTGTCATCTACTGAAATACTCAGATAACTGTAATAATTGTGTGCATCAAAGATGGTCAAGGAGCTGCATAAGGGAGCTAGTGAACCACTTTGTGGCATGATGTGGAAACAGTCCTCTGATCCTGAATGTCAACAAGACAAGGGAGAGGATTGTACATTTCAGAAGAAACGGGAGCAAGTTTAATCCTACTAACATGATCGGCGCAGATATGGAGTTGGTGGAGCAATATAAATCTCCTAGTGTTCACCTGGGCCAAAAACTAACTAGACTGGAGACACAACTTTGAAGCTGTCTACAAGAAGGTACAGAGCAGGCTGTACTTCCTAAAGAAGCTCAAGTCCTTTGATGTTTGCAGCAAGATGATACATATCTTATATAAATCTATTGTGGAAAGTGATCTTTTCCTCCATCATCTGCTGACGAAACAGAATCAGAAGTTAATAAAGAAGGGTGGCTCTGTTCTAAAACCTCTTGAGATGTTTTCACAGAGGAAATCTTTATAAAGTGAAGACATCATGGACAGCAGTGAGCATCCTCTTCAAAAATTTGTTAAACAGAGTGTCTTCAGGAAGAGACTTCTCCAGATCAGGTGCAACACAGACCACTACAGAGGATCCTTCCTGCCTACAGTTAGCAAAACCTACAACAACTGGTTAAAAAAACACAAGTTACTGTAAAATTTTACTTTGGGATTAATAAAGTGTTTTTGAATTGAAGTGAATTACTCAGCTACGCTCATGTGGGGACTTGCCATACCCTGCTTGTCACTTTATTACTTTATACATATAGTTTATACCTATGAAGGGGCGGCTATGTGAATGCAAGTTCAATTGGATAGGGTCATAGGATTTAAATCACAATGCTTTCCAGGAAAACTGGTGAAAATATTAAAACATGAAAAGGCTTACCACGTTGACAAAAAAATTAGAAATCAAATTATGTCACCATCCTTTAAAACGCATATTCAGTTTCTTGATATTCCAATTTCATTAGGCCTCAGTTATTAGTCATTTAAGTTAATTTCACACATGCATACACACAATGTGATGAACAAATAAACTGTCTTCTGAATACTGATATTTTAAGCCTTAGAATGAAGGAAGCTTTCTGAAAATAAATGTTACCTACACAATATACTGTGTTGGTGTTTAACCACCTTCATAGTATCTCACATAGTTTTCATATAAAATCAGCATACGGTATTACATGTCTACTCAAATGTGTTTAATTTCGACGTAAGCTTTGTTCTCTACTTCCATCTTAGCATTCCTCCAACAAATGAATAGCATGCAAAGTTAATTTATGTAAGATATCATGACCCAAGAAGTGGAAGAACAGTTGTTACTTTAGAACTGGCTATTTACAGAGGGTAAGACAAAAACATTTTAACTGAAAGTTGACTAGAGGGACAAAGCTACACAAGCAGGAAACATTGATTAATGCGACCTTAGAAATATTGTGACTCAAAGCTGTTTTAGATTTTGGGGGATATTGTTAAGGCGTAGACTGTGGTTACAGTCAGAACTTCCAGAGCCACAATGTATACAGCCACTGCATGATACCTCTATCAGAAGAAGCCACCTTCAAGCTGCCACAGATGCAGATTTTATTCTTCTGCAGGACTTGGAAGCTGTGTTAAGTCTTTGGTTTAATTATCCTGTTATCACTGTGACTAACTGGCCAGCAAATGTTTGTGTTTTCACCAGCTGTAAGCCATAATTATCAGAAAGAAAATGAACACCTTAAATATTTTACACTGATTTATCATTTAATATAATCAGAATCAGAAATACTTTAATTATCCCAGAGGGAAATTACTTTTGTTACACCGCTCCAGTTAGTTTTTTTTAATAATGTATTTGTTTATTATTATTATCATTATTATTAAATAACTGAAATTCATTAACATTTTTATGTTCTTAAAATATGTGATTGTGAGATGCATTTGTATGTTTTACACTCTTGTTTTTTTTTCTTTTTTCCCTGTGGAATAGATGCTCTTCAGATGTTTCTGGTCCAGTTTCAAAAATTGCCTCAAGTGTCTCTTGATCTTTTTTCATTTATGACTCAAAATCACTGGCAACCAGGTTGTGCTCCCTGATTTTAAACATCCAAAAGAAGTAAACAAGGTTGAGAGTCACTGACTGAAGTTCATTATTTCCATTTTAGGGAGCGGGTGGGCTTCTTCCCTTACAGTATTCATTTTGGTCACCTTAATCGATTGCACTTCCATCACATGCCTTTTCTTTGATGCAGTTTTCTACTTTTTCTGCTGTAAATGTAGAGACTGTGAGAAGAACAGTGCAGTCCATTTAAAGTTAACCTCTGAACAAGCCAACCCAAGTTCAACAAAAGCTAAATCCTGGCCATATTACTGTACACAGGGTGGCATCAAATAGAGTAGAGTGGAAAATGAAAGCAGCAGATAAGGTTGCAGTTGAATCTGCTCCCTCACAACCTGCTTAAATTAAGTCACTGCGAACATAAGTGTGTAATGGAGCGTATAATGCCCTGCACTGGACATATCTAAAGCGTCTTTTCCTTTATCTTCTTCACAGCAGTCAGCCAAA